CAGCCATAAGCTAGGAGAACAAATAGGAACCATACGGTCATGGGAGAGGGAGGCTGCTGGCAGCTAACGGTCATCTGAGTGATGAGGCCAAATTAGGTGTCAGAGCCTCCTGTTCTGATGTGGCCACCAATCCAACTGACCATTCACCATTATGACTGGGGGGAGCCAAGGGACCGTATGAAAACAATTCACCTTATAAGCAGCCCAATTGTCAATCAATTGCCCAGTGGCCACTAGCAAAACATAAGCATCAAATCTATCTATTTTGACATTTGGAGACAGATAGGTGGTGCAATTAGACAGAGTGCTGGGCCTGGAGTCACGAAGACTTGAGTTCAAATATGACCTCAGACCCTTATAAACCGCGTGATGCTGGGCAAATCACTTAATCCCTATTTGCCTCAGTTTCCTCATCTGTAAAATGGGCATAAGAATAGCACCTATCTCCCAAGACTGTTATGAAGATCAAGTGAGATAATATTTGTAAAGCATCTGCTCAGCATAGCATAACATATAAAATATTATAACATATAATCAGTGCTATATAAATTTTAGCTAAAATATTATTATTTTATAACAATACCAGCAAATTATTATATATAATATAAATATATTCATATTAGTTCATACATTATATAATAAAAAGTTATACTTGTATGCAAATATAATATGTAATATAATTAACATAATTATATATTTATATTCTATAATGATATATGCTATTATATGATATGTATAATAGTAGAATGAACATAATAATATTATTAGATATTATTATTTTTACTGTTAACATTATTATAACCACTAACTTGCCTGAGCACTAGCTACCAGGAAAGAGAGAGAGAAAGATAGGTTACTCCTCCATCATCCTTCCGTGCCTTCTCTGACCTGATCTGAGCAATGAGCCAGGGGTTCAGCTACCCCAGATCACAAAGGGAGTGGGTGGCAAAGCCAAGACTTGAACTCAGGTCCTCAAACTCCATCCTGGTTTATAGCTGACTTGGTTTCGCATGTTTTTGTTTTGTTTTTATTGTTTATTATTTTATTCTCTGGTGATTTTTTTTCCTTTCCTTTCATTCATTCATTCATTTACTTCTCATGCGTTTTTAAGAACTGCCCTCCTTCCAGCCCACTTTTTCCCCCATGGCTCATGGGCTCCCTTCTTTTTTCCATCCGTGGCACCGCCCTCCCAAACCTCTGCCATCAATCAGCCTAAGGCGCCCTTCCTGGCACCAGAGTGAGCACAAGTACTTACTAGTTGGAGGATGCCTCCCACACTCCAGAGCTATTTCTCAGTCTTATTCTAGACTGCCTAACCACATAAGTACAGCTAGGATATTTATACTAGCCTGCAAGTTTGTGTCGGCGAGAATATCACCGCTTGCTCTACCCGGGCCCAGAGAAGAGGACGGAGGGCTGGGGAAGGGATGGGCATGAGCCAGGCCCCCCAGGCTCCTCTGACTATTAGCACTATGGCTTTCTGCCTTTTACCCCTCATTTGGGGCTGGTCTGGCTCAGGGCCCGCTCGGTAGCCATGCTCATCTGAGGCCTGCGAGCGACGTCTCTGTACTGTCCCAGGAAGCCTCCCCTATGGACCGGCATCCTGTCACACTTTCCAGGCCTCTCAAGCCTCCCCAGTCCCTCATAGAGAAGGGAAGACATGGTGGAGCAGGGGAGACACCGAAGGCAGAGGGTTGGCAGAAGACCTGGGGGGCACCCAGGAAGGGCAGAACAAGGGGAGACAAGTCCTAGCCCTGAATCCCAGCGGGGCCCACGCCCCTCGGCTGCAGCAGTGAGCTGTGCGTGGGCACAGGTGGGTGCCAGGCTCTGTGGCTGGATCGCAGCTCCGAGTCCTGGGCCTGAATAGAGACTTTCATAGCTGTTTGCTGTTTTTGTTGGCTGGTCGCCATTGCAAACATTTGCAGGTGGCTTGGCCAGATTTTGACACTTGAATATTTGAGGTTGTGATAAAAATCAGAATATTACTACAATATGGGTTCTGTGCAGTCTTACAAAAAAAATAAAATAAAAAAGCTATCTGCAGTTTCAAATGCTCATTTAAAGACACAGTCTCCAGAGGAAACTCATGTTTTAAAATAAGTGCTCATTTCCTTTTCGCTGGGGGGAAATAAAGAAGGGAAAGTCATCCCCATGTTTTGTTTTGTTTTTTTCAAACCACCTAGATCTCAATATTGAATCCACTGGTGAAAGGAGCTACTTCTTACTGAGCCCCAGTGGCCACTCTGGCCAGGTTTGGGGATGGGTCAGGCACAGATAAAGGATAACAACAGGGTGTCTCCCTTGGAATCTGCACCGTAGGCTCTGAAGGGTACAGCCTGAAGAAAGCAGGAACTCCATCAGCCAGCCTTGGCAGGGAGACAGAATCCCCAAAGCAGCAATTATCTCCTAGGACACACCAGGGAAGAAACACAACACCCCAGGACTAGGAACAGACTGTAGGACGGGCCTGGTCAGAAGGTCATGCAATCTCAGGGGCAAGCCCACTCACGGATGGAGAAGAGGCTCACGAACGCCTCCCATAGACCTACAAAACAGCAGACCTCCAGGCTCAGCCTCAGAGGGCCCAACAGCGTCCCATCCACTGCTAAGCCGGCTGCTGGCCTTTGAAAGTGAGCCTGTGCTTAACCTGAGCCCAGCCGGAGTGGTCCTAGCTAGAGACAGGAATAATAGCTGAGGGGCTGGCTCTCTGGGCTGTTGGGGGTGCGAAGCAGGAGCCCTGGGGGGTAGGGCCAAGGAATGTCACTAAAACTGCTTGTAAACTCCAGCACAATTTACCTTTTTCTTTTCTTCCCCCCCTCCAGAAGGAAAAATAAAATAATTATAATTACCCGACATAACTCTGGCTTGTTTCTCCATGGGTCCAGCCACTACAGGGAAACAGTCACTTGAGATGGAGGCGTTTGCTTGTCTTTAATTAGCCCACCCCACCCTGGGAGGATTACAGGTTCTTGCCTCGGATCCCAAAGCTTTTATGGGAGAAAAGACATCTTTAACAGGAGAAGCATTTGCTCATTCGGCCTTATGGTCTCTCCAAACAAAGCCAGGCATTCAGCTGGACAGTCTCATTTTCTGAATCCTGAATGGAAACTCCAGGGTACCCACGGCCAATGGGTGGGTAGTCATTAACTATGGTGCTTTGGTTTGTTATGGTAAGCCTTCCCTCACAAGTCACAACGTATTCATAAGGACTGACAGATGCCAAGGACAAGGGCTTACCCTCCCAGGATGGGCTTCAGTTAAAGAGAAATATGGGGGTTGTCCCCTCATGTGGAGGGGGCACCCTGGAAACTTCTAGAGATAGGGGGAGAGAGGGCACTGGAAAATGGGGTGGCAGCAGCCCCTGCTCCCTATTGAGCAAACCTGTCTGATATGGCACAGCCCCATAATTCCAGTCTGTCTTTCATCATCTTACCTGGAGGGTTCTGGGAAATAGCATTCATCCATTCTCTATACGTGGTAATACAAGTAAATTGCCAAGCTTGGGAGTGTGTGTGTGTGTGTGTGTGTGTGTGTGTGTGTGTGTGTGTGTGTGTGTGTTTTACTTCCTCACAATTCAAGAGTGACCAATGCTATGTAGAAACTGTATGAAGTCTGAACTCCCTCTGCCCCCAAACCCAGATGGAATGGAGGAGACTGTGACCCTGAGGTGCTGAGCAGGGGAGGGAAACATTTGTACTCCTGGCCTTATTATACATACAAAGCAAAATCTAATACAAAACCAAACAAAAAACCAAGGGCATTTAAATCTCTTAACTCACAACTCCCAAACTCTTAATTTGTTTAAGTTCCTATCCAAGTGAGATAGGAAAGACAAGATTATTATTCCCATTCTACAGAATGAAAAATTGAGTCAGCAAGAGGTTAAATTCACTGGTTAGAAGTCATATGGCAAGGACTGCAGGTCAGCTAAGGAGTAAGGGTATTTGGGTCCTGCCGATGATCAACACCCAGGATAATAGGGTGGGTAGGTCCAGAGGCAGGAAGGATGCAGAGGCCTTGGGAGGGGCCACGAGTCAGGATAAGGGCAGACAGAGCAAGCGACTGCATGGCTTTGAGTCCAGAGACACGTCCGCCATCCCACCCGCCTTCCTTCATGAATTGTGATTCCAAGGGGTGAGACACCACAAACCACACAACACAGCACAACACAACACAACACAACACAACACAATCGTGGCAAGTCAATGGGAGAGCTGGGGCTGAAGTCTAGGTCTTCTCCACCCCAGTCCAGCAAGCTCAGGCATTCCACTAGATCACCCTCCTGGTATATCATCAGTTGGGAACATGGATCCATGCTAGGCTTTCTTAGCCCAATACTTTCACAATGGCCCCATTTCCTTCACATCTTAAAGGTCAGCGGACCTCAAAGCTCTTTGCATCTCATGAGGCTCCAAGCCTGCATCGCCCTTATACTAACTTTTAAAAAGTGTTTCAGGATTCCCAGGCTGCTGAGAAAGTTAAGTGATCTTTTCTTTTTCTCTCTATCTTTGTCCCTTTCCCAAAGGAACAGGTTCTCAGGAGAGCTGTTCTACCTTCCTAGAAAAGCTGGTTGAGACAAGGAAACCTTAACAATGGTAGAAGACCAGGGAACAAAGGATCCCAGGGGCCTCCCTAAGGGGCACTGGATGTGGGTAGGAGGTCTGTACGGGTGCATTATTGTGCCACCAACACACAGTTGTCTGGAATCCTGACTCTCTGGCCTCTAAACTTCTCTGCAATCTCAGAGAAATAGTGCACCAAACTAATCCAGGAATATATACGACATTGACAAAAAATACTGCTTTATTATCAGTCCCCTGCTTGGTAATCTCTCTCTGTGATGAAAGCAGCTTCAACTCTCCCCTAGGAAAGATCAAAGCTTCAGTCGAGGCTTGCCCTGGGAGTTGGGCAAAGAATCCCCTAAGGATTTCCCCCAATCAAGGCCCTGCAGAAAATCAACATGAAGACCCATGTGGAGTCAACCTCCAATCTCTCCTTACCCGATCTGACGGTTTGTGGAAGGAGCTTGCGTGATCACAGAGCTGGACTGAGGGGAGGGCATGGCCTGTTGAATCACAACGCTGGTGTCATGGTTGGGCATCCGCGTGGTGCCCAGCTGATGAGGCCCTGGCATCGCTCCGCCAACTGCATTGTGCATTGGGATAGCCTGCCCAGAGAAGGAGGGGAAGAGGGAAGGAAATCAATATTTCATTCTGTGTTCATGGTCTGCAAGTCCGAGATTAGGAATCTCATAGTGTCCCCCCAGACAGAGAATTACTGGCCCCTGGCAAAACTTGAGCCATTGGGACGGGATAAAATACAACTGGTTTCATTGACAGTAGGAAACATGAAAATACCTGGAAGTTTGTTAATTGCTTCGCTGCCACACTGACGTGAGATTTATATTAGAGACATCTCGTACACATGTCTCTGACTTGGCGTGATAAATACCACATTGGAAAGTGAGTTTTTTGTGGTGAGCTCCCAGCTCTATGATTTAATGGGTCGGCCAATCTATTGAACCTGCAGCCAGCTTTGGATGACAAGCACGCTGGCCTTTTCATGATATCTGTCCAGCCCACAATTTCATGAAATTGACACCTCTCTGGGTCACGGGATGGCATGGTTATGTAATGAGCCCAAGAGCCTGGGGATAGTGGATGATGGAGACATAACAGGAGGCACGGCCACAGTCTAAGATCTACAAAGATCCAGCCTCCCCTTTTAGCTTTACAACGGCAAAGATCTAGGTCACTTGTAGTCCCCATACATACACATAGAGATCTAAATCTGGAAGGAACCTCTGAGATCAATTAGTCTGATTGCTTTACAAATAAGGAAACTGAGGCCGAGAGAAATGAATGGACTTGCTAATTCTGAGCTAAGTGCTAGAGTTGGGATCTGACTCCAAATGGAGTGCACTTTTCATTGTATAATGCTGTCCCCTTCACATGCAAAGAATTTTTAAATTTATTTTAAACATCCTCCCTATGACACCTCTTGATGGTGGCGAGATGATCGTGGGCTCTCTAGGGCCATGGTGATGGAGCACAAGCTTCTGCCTAGCCAGGAATGCCTCGAGGACCTGTTTTCTCATGGTCCCTATGGCTGAATTTGGTTAGGTAGGTCCTGAGACCAGAGAGAGGCCATAGCAGGCTCAGCCAACTTCAAAGACTATCTGCAAACCTAGAGAAGGGTGGTAAGAAGCAATATTGGGTGCCAAACCCACACGGGGAGAATTTTGAATATTTGAGGATTAAAGTGAGAATCCCCAAGCATGATGAAGTCTGGGGAGTGTATTTGATGAGGCTGCGTTCTGCCTGGAATGAAAGTATTGGAGCAAAGAGGTTTTGTTTTCACTGAGGCCAAGTAGGCAGAGACATTCTAAGAATATCTTGAGCTGAAAATTGATTATTATTGTCATTTTTTAAATCCGGAAAACAAGTCACATCAACAAGCAATTTATTAAGGTGTCAGGCAATGGGCTAAGTGACAATAGGTAAACAAGGAAAGATCAAGCTTTTGTTAGCAGGGACACTATAATACAATGGAAAAAGAGTTAGCTCTGGGGCCTTGGTTCAAATCTTCATTCTGCAACTCATTACCTGCCTGGCCTTGGAAAGGTCATTTCACTTCCCTGGGCCTCAGTTTCCCCATATGTAAAATGAAGCATTTGGCTAAGATAGCCCCTGAGTTAGTTCACTACCAGCCCTAAATCTATGACTTATACTCCTCTCAGCCTCTGCCCTCCAAGGTTTTGTCTTTGATCCTTGATCTGCAAAACTATGTTCCTTTTAGTTATAATAGGTCTCCTTAACCTGGGTCTATGAACTTGGTTTTCTAAAAATGGTTTTGATGACTCTGTTTCAATATAATTTGTTTCCTAGGTATATTTTATTTTATGCTTTTAAGATTATTCTTCTGAGAAGGGTCCCTAAGCTTCACCAGACCAATTGCCCAGCAGGTCAAGGATATCCAAGTGGTTCAGAACTAGTTTTAGCAAACAGATTTAGAACTAGGAGAGGCTACACAGAAGTGGAGGGGCAGACAGAGAAACTCTCATCCAACCTTCTCTCTCTCTCTCTCTCTCTTTCTCTCTCTCTCCTCTTCCTCCTCCTCCTTCTTCCTCTTCTACTTTTCTTTCTCTCCCTCCTCCTCCTCCTCCTCCTTCTTCTTCTTCTTCTTCTTTCTTCTTCTTCTTCTTCTTCTTCTTCTTCTTCTTCTCTTCTTCTTCTTCTTCTTCTTCTTCTTCTTCTTCTTCTTCTCTCTCTCTCTCTCTCTCTCTCTCTCTCTCTCTCTCTCTCTCTCTCTCTCTTTCTCACATACACACTCTCAGGCTCAGAGGGATTAAGTGCTTGGCCTGAGGTCACATGACTAGCAAGTGTCAGGGCCAGGATTTGAACCCATGCCTGCTAACTCTACAAAAACACTACACCCACTATAGTCTGTGGCTGCCCATGTTGAGGGCAGCTGCTAAACCAAAGGTGATCAGGAAAATTGTGTGTGTTTAGGGGGTGCAGTTTGATAAGGCATTGTTGGGGGGAAGATGGAAGGAATGGTGCATCATTACCAATTTGCTAGTGGGGGGGAAAGTCTGCCAGAACACTTTAAGGCTTAGCACAGAGGAAAGCCAGAATTACTCCCCAGGAGGACGAGGGATAGCTCAGCCCTGTTCTGCAGCAGAGAACAGGGATTTCCTGCACTGCGTGTTAAGTGATGGTGAGAACATACGTGCCTTTGGACTGCCGGTGTCCATCACGTTGCACCTTTCTCAAGGTTTCTGATTTCTAAAGGCTGACTGCCTGGGCTGTCAGGAGTCCAGATGGAAACTGGGCACCTGGCTTAAATTGTGGGCTGACCAGAGTGTGCGTGTGTGTGTGTGTGTGTGTATGTGTGTGTGCATGCTTACACACACATGTGCTCACATACACAGCCCAAAGCTCCCTCTAGGACCACGCAGGACTGTTTGATACCTTAACACACTGAGAAAAGCCCCAGGTGCTATTGCACTGGGTGAGAGTAAAGACATGAAGAGGAAAAACTCTAGGACCAGCAAAAAGAGAAAGTAAGCACTTTCATTGTTTTTATGCCGACAAGTTCTAATGAAGAAAAATGACTAAAGATAAAGAAATATTTGAATTACACATTCACAGAATCCCAGAATCCCGGGGGTTGGCAGCGACCTTGGCAACGATCTAGTCCAATAACACTCGAAAAAGAATATCTGCCCCTTTAGAATGTCAGCGACAGGGGCTTATCCAGACTCAGCACCAGCGCCTCGAGGAGCTGGGCTCCCCAGCTCTGGGGGCAGGCAGCTCATTCCTCTTTGGGATAACCAAAGGGTGAGGACTTTCTCCCAACATCAAACTCAAATTGGCTTCCTTGTCATCAGCCCCTGCTGCTTCTGGTTCCTCCCTCTGAGGCGCCTCTGCTACATGACAATTTTGTAAGTAGTTGTAGACAGCTGGCGTGTTCCTTCTGTGTCTTCTTATTTGGGAACCAAGTACCCCACATTCTTCAACCAGTCCTTCTGTGGCATGGATTCAAGGCACCTCCACATTCACAATCTGACCCCAGCTTACTTTACCCAGGTAATTACCCTGACACACTCTCTTCCAGGCAAACTAGGCTACTTTCTCTTCTTCCTGCATAATATTCCATCTAGTACCTTTGGATGGGGGCAGCTAGGTGGAGCAGGGGATAGAGTGCCAGGTTGGCGTCTGGAAGACCCATCTACCTGAGTTCGAATCCAGCCTCAGACACCTCCTAGCTGGACAAGTTGCTTCACCCTTTTGCCTCAGTTTCTTCATCTGTAAAATGAGCTGGAGAAGGAAATGGCAAACCACTCCAGTATCTCTGCCAAGAAAATCCCAAATGGGGTCACAGAGAGTCAGACATGACTGAAATGACTGACCGCCTTTGGGCAGGCTGTTTCTTCCAATAGAATGTAAGCTTCTCTAGGGAGGCTTGTATTTGTATCCCAGCATCTAGCCTTACACTTAAAAGACTCTTAAACAAATGACTGATGATTGAGTCATCATTATTATCTTTATTCTTTTTTTTTTTTGGCTAGTCAATGGGGTTAAGTGACTTGCCCAGGGTCACACAGCTAGTAAGTGTTATGTGTCTGAGGCCAGATTTGACCTCAGGTCCTCCAGATTCCAGGGCCGGTGCTCTATACGCTGCGGCACCTAGCTGCCCCTCATCATTATTATCTTTGTTGTCATCATTATTATTAGCCTTGCAGCCTTGAGAATTTGAGATATGATACCAATCAACTGAGAAGCAATTATTAAGCATCTACTGAAGATACCGAAGACACTGAAGATACAAAGACAAAAATGAAACTAGCAGCTTCTTCTCTTTCTAGCAATATAGTTGGTGGCTCTGATCAAGGGCAGAGGGAAAGGCAGATGACCTGCTGAGGTCTGTTCCAGCTCTGTCCTTTAACTCTGCTTCGTACCAGCAGCACAGAGATGACATCAGGACTGAAGAGGTCCAGGCTGCCCCGCCATCCTCCCTCTTTGCCTTGCACATACAATCTGCCCTTTTCCTATAGAGACAAGAGACCATTAAAAATAGAGATTTCTCAGAAGAATAAACAGCAGCTCTGAAGGTGAAGCCCTATCATTTCCTACAGAACAAAGAAACTTTTCTTTCTAAAACAGCATGTTATAACTTGAATGTGAAACTGTTCCTTGAGTTCGAATTTACCATTTTCAGCTCATAATTTGTCTTCATGGGCAAGAATGGCAGCACTGCCAGTTCAATGAATCATTTTTATGCCGTGAAAAAACCCACTGGATTCAGAATCGGAGGGCCTGAGTCTGAATCTCCCTTCTGCTCCTTACTACCCACAAAGCCTTGGGAAAGTCATTTAGCTCACTCGGAACCTGTTAAAAGAAGAGGCAGGATCGGATGAATGAAGGAAGCCCTTTTTAAGCACTTACTTGTACAAAGCACCTTACTAGGCACTGGGGACAACCCCTGCCTCTGGGGAGCTCATATCCTATTTGGGGAGAAAACATCGGGTTTCAGCTGCAAGTCAAATGAAAGGGTCTCACGGGGCAGAGGCAAAGGAGGTGGCCAGCGCTCTTCTTCAATGTCATGGCCACTGATAAAATCCTATTCATTCCCAATGTTGAGCCAGGGCCAAGGACTTTGGGG